AAAGGGGCTACCTGATGAGTAACTGATATATAAGATCTGGGCTGGTTTAAAAAAAAAAAGTGTTCAGATCACATTTAATACTAGAAAGAATAACATTCTGACTATTTAAAAAGAGGGTGGGGTATGAATCTGAAGAGCCATTAATTATAGTACTAAGAGGAGAGATAATAGATGCCCAATCTAGAATCCTAACAATGGAATGCAGAGATGGCAAAGACATTTTAAGAACGGTGAAGTCAAATGGCTCAACCAGACAAACAGGAATGAGAAGGGTAAAGAGTAATCCTGGATGCTGACCTTGTCACCCGTGCTAGTTTTATGTCACCTTGACACAAGCTATAGTCATCTGGGAGGCGGAAACTTCAACTGAGATTAAAAAAAAAAAAAGCCTTCTAAGATTGGGCTGCAGACAATGCCTATAGGGCATTTTCTTTATTAATGATTAATGTGGGGAGGACCCAGTTCAAGGCCAGCCTAGTCTACAGAGCTAGTTCCAAGACAGACAGGGCTACACAGAGAAACCCTGTCTCAAATGAAAAGAGAGAGAGAGACAGAGACAGAGAGAGAGAACAACTAGGAAAATCCCTCCCGTCAAGGGATGGACTGCAGGAAAGAACTGAGAAGTCACGAGAAGGACAAGAAAACATTGACCCTAAAGATGTACTAAACTAAAGAAATAAGAGGTGAATAATATTAAGATAAAGGAAGTACCAATCATAGGAAACTGTTGTAGAGACTCCACACAGAGAGCTGAGGTGGTGAGGATCAGCCTAGAACCACTGTTTAAACCCAGTCTTTGTATGAACTACCCACAACTGCTTAGGAAACCCTAAGTTTACAAGAGTTAAAAGGTCCTTTTTGTAGTGAACTGTCTTACCACAGAGGAGGAGTCTCAGAGAAAAACAGTAAGCTGGGTAGATAGATAAGGAAAAAAAATCAAATCCAGACTTTTCAAGGGTAGAAATCAGACTACATTTGGCTTTGGTGAAAAAATAATCCAAATTGCAGTTTGCAAAGAAAGCTCTGGCCTCAAGGTTTCGGTTACCAAGCCCAAAGAAGCCATTTAAACCACTCTGGCTTTGGAGCTGGAGGAGAAGGGTAGATATTCATCTCCTCTGGACCACAGCTATGAGAACTATTTCGGAGAGCTGACTGAACTGTAGATAACTGGGTCATCTAAAACCAGCCAAACCGCTGGCAGAGCCTGCGGTCAGAGGTTATTGACCCTTGAGGCTGTGTGAGGGGAAGTTCCTGTTTTTGTTTTGTTTGCTGGTTTTGATGTTTTGCTTGTGTTAGAGGGGTGATTTTGTTAAGTTTGTGAACAAGTTCAGAAAGGGTAGGAACACCTAATCTACCTGCTCAGGGTACCATGGGCAATGGAACAAGAGCGGCTTCAGCAGTAGCCGTAGCCATCTGGAGCTGTCAGGCTACAGCTGGCCCGGAAATTTACAGGGCAGCTTCTTAAACACAAACTTCTGGGTTCTGCCTCAGGGGTTTCTGATTCAAACTGAACGCGCACATTTTTAACAAATTCCAGGTAAGGATGACTGACAAGTCAGGTCTGAGGCCCACACCGAGAGAACTCCTTTTGTGGAGTTGCTTATTAGAGTCATTTTCTGAGTCTGCCCTGACCACTTAAACACAAAAAAAAGATAAAGTGTTTCAAACACCACGCACGGTAGCTCACGCCTGCAATCCCAGGACCTGGGAGGCTGATGCAAGAGGACTTCCATGAGTTCAAGGCTTCCCTGAGCTACTGAGTAAAACAGTGTCTCAAACACAGATCAGAAAAGTAACAGGGCACGTGATCAAACATAAATATCCTAAGCCATTCAAGTCTATTAGAGAAGACATAAAAAGCTGGAAACAAACCGAGCTACAATGGGATGAAATTATAAAAGCCATGAACTACGTGAAGAGACAAAAGTGGCTAAACAAACAAAAACACTACAGACACAAGAGAAAGCAGCTGGATTCAAAACCACGAGATTATGAAAAGGCATATGCAAATAAAAAATTTGAAACTTTTGACTTTCAGTATTTATGTAGCTATTTGTCTGCCCAACCATAACTCATTTGGGAAGACCCCTTTAGAGTTATTCACTTAGAAAACCTAGTCCCAAACAAGTCTTGAGGACGTATTTGTGTTCAAAACCATCTTTTAAAAGGGCCTCCCGCTGGTTCCACACAGGGCCTGCGGTGCCTGCCAGGCTGCAGAGGAAATCTTCCTCACCAGACCGCGCCACGTGACTCTCATTCCCAGCATCCTGTTACCAAGGCTGCACTCTGATGCAGCTACAGCCGCTACCATCTTATGTTGACAGCTCTTAACCCTGAAACAGTATATTCAAATCTATAATTCTCTCTCAACAGCTCGGAATATCTGTAATTGCCTCTGTCTGCTTGCTATTTGTCTTACTGTTCTGAGAACACTCAGAATTCATAAGAGATGAATTCTGCCAACAGCATCTCCTTGGGACAATCGTGCGTGCTCTGTGCCACACTGCCTCAGAAGCCTTAAAGTCCATTTTCAAACCCATTTGCCACGTGCGGCTCCTGCTCTGCTCCTTTAGTGTCTGTTGTCTTTTCTCCCAGGGCATCTGTAGACCTGAATGTTAGAGCCCTCATTACCCAAGTCACTCCTACCCCACACAACACTCTCTCTCTCTCTCTCTCTCTCTCTCTCTCTCTCTCTCTCTCTCTCTCTCTCTCTCACACACACACACACACACACACACACACACTGCTCCCTCTGACTTTAGTCTCCCCGCTCAGACGTTAGCCTTATGTATGTATATTTGGTATAATATTTGATCTCATTTCTCTTTGCCCCTCCCAGGGTCCTCCTGCCCTTGACAAAAAACAAAACAAAACAAAACAAACCATAAAACACAAACAAAAACACTTGATTTTTAAAAGTAGAACATTTAGGGTGTGACTGTTTAAAAACAAAACAAAAAACACTGTTAAGAATTATTCTTTCAACAAACACTACCCACTGACACTAAGAGGCGAGAACCAGTCAAAGAGCTTCTACACCGGTGAACAGCTACCGAGCGTTGCCAGGATTCCTTAGTGGCCATCTTTTACCACGTTGGCCCTGGAGACTGGTGCTTCCTAAAATATCAGAGGATAATGGAACCAAGAGTTACAGGAGTGTATGACAATAGCCTCCTATCAAAGCAACCGCCTCATTTCATGTTGGTGTTTCCTTTCATTTGCAGGGTTTGAAGCATCCCCAAGATCTCAGGACAACAGAAAGAAAGAAGCATAGCGCAACCCTCCGCAGGATGCTTCCTGAGAAAGCCTGCACTGGATGCTCAGTGCAGTGCGGGGCAGCGTGATTCCAGGGGCCTCTGCTGGCTTCCCTGTTATCCTTCGCCCTCAATTTACTGGGACATTTGAAAAGCAGAGGCAAATACAACTCAGTGTGTGGCATCTAGAGAAGGAAAACGAAACTTAACCATTCGCATCTGAGGAAACACACACCCCTTCCAAATGTAGCTACAAAACCTAAATATTTTATTCAATTTTATCCTATTATAGCTTCAATTTGATCTTATAAGCTACTTGGACATATAATTCTTTGTCAAAATAGTACAGCAAATTGCTGCATTCCAAACAAAAAGCAAGTAAATAACTACAGATGTGTGTGGGTATATGTATGCCTGGGTGTACATACATGTATATACACTCACATACATATGCAGACATACATACAAATATTGAGTAGAAGTTTGGTTTTATTCTTCAAAAGGTGTCAATCTTTGGTGACACTCATAAAAGGCAGACTCCCAGCCCTGTCCTGACCATTCTGATACTGACATGACAGGAAGCTAGTAATCTGAAGTGTTGAGCATGCGAAGGATTGAACCAGGGCCTCATTCATGCTAAGCATGTTCTTCGCTGCACCCCAGCCCTGTAATTTGAAACTTTTAATGTGTATTTTAACAAGCACTCTGATAACACTTGGAGAAACATTCCAAAACACCTGCAGGGAGTCATTTATAAGAGGCGAATTTAAAAGCCTGAGAGGCTCACAGTGCAAGAGAGTTTGGGTATCACTTGTTAAACCTGATTAGTACAGGAACATTCCTAGAATCATGACAGATTGATTGATCTTAATAAGAAGGAGCAACAATATTTGTAAGCCAAATAAATAATGTTTCTCTATAAACTACAAGGTCTAACCACTGACTTTAACAATACCAACTTGTTTAAAGACACACTCCCTTCTGAGGAGTCCAGCACACACAGAGACAACAAAGAGGAAAAATAGCTACAATATATTATTTCTTCTTTTTAGTGTCGGTCAAAGCAAGTGTTTCCTTTTATCATGCCACTCTCTCAAAGACAACGTCACAGTGCTGACAGGTGCCCCCCCCCCAGAAAACAGGGTACTTAAACCAGTTCTACTGGGGGTCTGGGAGACAAGTCCAAAAAGAATGTTTTGTAAGTACTTTTGAGTAGAAAATTGAATACAAATTCTCCAAAACTCTGTTTTGAAGAAGAAAATGTTCAGCTAGATATGCAGATGTCCAAGTATACTTGATTTTAAAAATCGTTTGTTAAATATTACTGGATATATACCAATAGTAAGACATGAATATCATAGTTTACTTTCTGCTGTTATAATAAAAACCATGACCAAAAGGTCACTTGGGGAGGAAAGGTTTTATTTCATCTCATAGTTTATAATCCATCAATTGAGGGAAGCTCAGGCAGGAACCACAGAAAACATTACCTACTGGTCTATTCCATGGCTTGTTTTTCATGTATGTATGTATGTATGGATACATATGGATACATACATACAATGGAGGATCACCTACAAGAGATGGCACCACCCACAGTAGGCTGGACCTTGTCACATCAAGCATTAATCACGAAAATGCCCCACAGGCCAGTCTGGTTTTATTAAAGCAATTCCTGGGTTGAGGCTCCCTTCTCCCAGGTGACTCCCGACTGACACAAACTAACAAGCACAGTGAGGACATCACCTGTGAGTGCTGTCTTCACTGCACACTCTTGGGCTGTGTGCGCTCACTTCACCTTTCAAAGGTGTGCGAAGGACATCTCTAACATTTGACTCTGTCAGGAAATCCCCAGAAGGCTCAAAATCTGTAAAAAGAAATGAATAATGCCTCAGCAACACTAACAAACTACAAATCCCAATCTACATTTCTCCCCTTTGTATACTGGGTGAATTATCCTCAGATCACATTTGTCTAGTCTCAGAGGCATTGCCATTATTCTTGGTGGCCCACCTGAACTAGATGAGAAGACCTTATTACCGAAGACACCATACACTTTGATGGTGGGGCATGGGGAAGTTAAGCTGGAACTGAGCTGCAAGCTTCCCCGCTGCTGGCTACCTTTCATAGTGCCAGAAGATGCTGTGTAGGTCACTGAGGTAAAATCGGTAGTCTTACCCTGTGGTAGATCCTAGGTACTACAATACTGACCTGCCAATAAGACGTGCCCAGCAGTACAATAGTGGTGTAATGGTTCTGAGGCTATCTAATTGGATTAGAGGCCCACTCTATAGTAGGAAGATCATGTCTGGTACTGTAAACCCAGTCAAAAGCCCATGACTGGGGAGGTAATAAGTTTAGTAGGGGAACATACTATCGTTGTTTTACTAAATGGACACACTGTCAATGGTCTTCAAATGTGTATGTTTATACCTATCTTTCTTACTTTCCTTGTTGCTATGATAATACACCCTGGCAAAAGTAACATAGGGAGAAGTGTTTATTTTGGCTCAGAGTTCCAGGCCCCAGTCCATGATGGCAAGGAAGAATCAGAGCAGCATCAAGAGGCCAACTAGTCACACTGCATCCATGGCTGAGCAGCAGAAAGCAATGATTACTTCAGCTCAGCTGACTCTCTTCACAGACTCTAGAATCTCCAGCCCAAGTAATGATGCTATCCACAGTGGGTCGGTCTTCCACTTCAATTAATCCTGTCAAAATAATGCCCGCAGGCAAGCCCAGAGGTATCTCTCAGATGTTTCTAGACCAAGTTGATAACTAAGATTAACCATTGCAACATCTGTAGGTCAAAGCAGCTTATTTTTGTAGTGGTCAGTGGTTAAGGCAGAGACTCATAACTGCAGAACAGCTGAGAATAACTGTTGGGTGCTTCACCCTAAATGAGATCTGTGTATCACCCCCATCCGAGCCTCGGGGGACATCTTGGAAGAGGATGAAAAGGGACCGTGAGCACCTGAGGATGTAGAGAAGCGCTGTAAAAGGCTATCTCCTAGACATGGCAGGACCACATTCAAGGAAGCAACCCTAATAAATGTCCCCTACTACTTATTTAGATATGAAAAACTAAAAACTTATTTTTTGCTTTCCCATGCCCAAAGTCTACCTTGTTCTTAGACATGTGTTTCCTATCATCGGGCCTTACAGAAAGGTGAGTTTTACAACAGACACATGACTACCCCTACTCTACAACAGAATAAGACGGAGGTCTACAGACAGAAATAAGAATATTGTCAATGACGAACCGCCAATGCTTAGAGGCATGAAAGGCAAAGGCTAGTGTAGATGCCAGGCAAAATCACAACTGCTACTCAACTTCGCAGTGGATGACAAGCTGGAGGAAATGTACAAGGGGAAAAAATTAAGAAAATAGGAAGTACTGCAATTTTGATAATGGAAAACATTTAAATGCCCAGTGACAAAGAAACAGCCAACTGAATTTGCTACTACAATAATTCATTTCACATCACTCTCTCAGCTATTAGTACTCTTCCGAGTTTATAATAAGATGAGTAGATGTCATTCATACTAAAGAAAAAGAAGCTTCTGTCCTGATGGCACACACCTTTAATCCCAGAACTAGGGAGACCGAGGCCAGAGGCTCAGGAGTGGAACGTTAGCCTGGGCTGCACAAGAGGGAAGGAGACAGGAAGAAGGGAGAAAAGGGAGGAGGGAGGGAGGGAGGGAAGAAAAAAAGGCAAACAAAGCAAGCAGGCAGGCAGCTCAAAAGATGGGTATTGGGCTGTAATTTCATATGGCCACAGCTATGCATGAACAAGGCAGGGGGAGGAAGTAACTCTTTCTTAGTATTGGGTATAATACTTCCCATCTCTAGACAGGTTAAGGTAAGAATACAAGTCAGAGAACACATGTATCCTTTCCATAACTCTATAGCCTAGGGATTTTCAAAGACCCAGATGATAAACCACTCATTGTTATCATAAATTTTCTGCAGTAGTCCAACATAAAAAAATGACTTCCTAGAACTTACTAGAAGAGATTGTGTCTTTGGCTTATACGCAGGAAGTTCCCAAGTCTGAAATATAGTAACTTTGGCTATAACAAAAGGAAAGGGGGATTAACATGACTTTAATCTTCAAATCTGGACACACTCTGGTAGTAACCAGTAACACTCTTGTGTGAAGACTGGAGTGAACAGATGTTTCACGGGCAAAGAAATAAACCCTAACCCACCTTCGTCACTTAAATCAACCAGTCTCTTACTAAGTACCCAGGAATAGACAGCAACCCCTCATGATCCAATCTCGGGGCATTCAGTGGTGAGAAGTTTTGCTAGTAACAAGTAACTCCCTCCACAATCCCACACAAACAATTTTATCATCACGGACTGGAGAATACGCAGGCTCTTCAGCTGCCTCTTAAATTACAGACTGCTTCCAGATGCTTTCCAGGTGATTTCAAGTCTTTCCTCAGCCTGCGGCTCATGAATTATGAAAGGGCATCCCTAATTCATGAGACCAATTCTTCCTCTCAGTGACCATTATCATATATCCGCCCTGTGCATGTTGCTTTTACGCACATAATAAGGCATTGCTGTGGATCAGCAAGGACTCTATTGAGAGGCTGCTTATATTTTATCATCGTGACTCTGCCGGTAGCGGGGCTTCCTGACTTCAAAGGCAGCTGGTCTTTTGACGGTAATGCACAGAACGATATCAGAAGCAAGGTTAAATGGGACTTGAGGAAATTGAAAGGAGACTCTTAAAATTCACCGAGTCTTGATAATTCTCTCACTTGTCATCTCATTGAAAAACAAAATATGTCTCCTGCGCGGAAGGGGAGGAAGAGGGCAGTTAGCAGTTCAGTCACACTCAGATCTCTCCCCAGGCAAGCACTTTCCCTCTAACAAAGCACCCTGCATCCACACAACAGAATCAAATTCAGGCTCATGGCATCCCTTGTAATAGCTATGTCACACCCTTAATTTCCACATGGGAACAAAATTTAAAGCTCATTTCCAGACGGCGTAAACCCCGTGAATTGAGACCTCAACCGTGCTGTTTAGGATTCTGCTGATAGGCAGGATTCACAAAAAGACAGGAAAATCGTCACGTGACCACCAGTGCTGGCTAACCCACGTCACACATTCCGAGAGAAAGCGGACAGGGTGTTCACTCAGGAGACATGGGTTCATCTGCAGCACTGTCTCAAGAGACCTGTGACAGAAACATGGGCTTTCCCAGAGGGTAGTTAAGAAACCAACCAACACACACACACACACACACACACACACACACACACACACTTCAACAAGTTCCCATTACCCGAGGCTTACTAAGAGCTAATTATTGAACAATTTCTTTCTCCAGAATGGCTGCACTGGGGAAGGTGATAGATGATATTCATGGGCAGAAGAAACCTACACAGACGCACAATCTTCACTGACTCCATTCAACGCCAAATGATGCCCTCAAGTCTTAAATAGAGTCCACAGCGGTCTCCAAAATTCAGTCCCTGAATTTACTCATGATAAAGCTGAAGCCCGGATGGCTAAGTGGCCTGTTCAAACATTCAGATGAAAGCAGATTGGAAATGCCCAAGACAGGTTGGGATCTTTGACCTCCCACACTGATGCTGCCTCCTGACAAGGTCAGGATTCCTCTGCCATCGATCTACCTAGTCCCTTTCCCTCCTCCCATGACCAGCAACCCCTGTTAACGCTTTCAGAAAAGCTTACCTGAATGGTGCTTCAGACTTTAACTTCAGCCAATCAATTCCGGAAACATCCTATTAATGATACAGAAGTCCCTTTGGCAACCAAGGAATCTTAGTATAATCTGACCTAGTTTTGTTCCCAGCACCTGCACTGGGCTGCTCACAACCACCTCCAACTCCATCTCCACAAGATGTAACACCCGGTTAGCGCAAATGGATGGTATGCCTCTGAGGAAGACTCAGTTACACAACCAACTGGCATTTTTATAGACCACTTATAAAACATCATTTCTCTGCACAAGTCATTCAGTTAAGATGTTTGCATTCTATTGGTGATTTATCATAGTGAATAGCATCATTCTAGCTTTCTTCCTATTGCAGTGAACAGAACATCATGACCAAAGCAACTTGGGAAGGAAAGAGCTTGTTTGGCTTATACGACCCTATCATAGTCTACCATTGAAGGAAGCCAGAGCAGGAACTCAGTGAGGCAGGAACTGACACAGAAACTACAGAAAAAGTAACCAGTACAAGCATGCTAACTTATTAAAAAAATAAAAATAAAATCAAACAAAGCAAAATTCAAGTATTAAAGTAATATTCCCAATGCTATAGCTACTCATGCTGACTTTTAAAGGTTACTGTTTGGGGCTGGAGAGATGGCTCAGTGGTTAGGAGCACTGGATGCTCTTCCAGGGGACCTGGGTTCCGTGCCCAGCATCCACATGGCCACTCACAACTGTCTGTGACTCCAGTTCCAGGGTTCTGATGCCCTCTTTCAGCCCTCTTGAGCACCAAGGTAGGCACAAAGTGCATAGAAATGCAGATAGACAAAACAGACGTACATATAAATTAAATTTTCTTTTAAGTCAATGTTTAAAGTTCTATGATCAAATGAATTTTGAAAATGCTGTGTCTATGCTTCCTGAACAGTACAGAAAACAAGCTGAGTTTTGTTCAGACCGGGGTTTCAATGCTTCCGAGTGGCTTTCATTTGCAGAGCTTGTATTCCATCCACCAGAAACACTCTTCAGGAAGTTTATTCCTGGATGAACAACCCGAGTGACTCCTATTAGACTGTATTTACACTCAGCCTTCTCTTGTGGGAGTTCAGTCACTTATGAGTCTGTGCAAAAGTCAGAATTGATATGCCATTCTCATGGTTCCGGGTTC